ACTGCGCCACCTCGGCTCTTAAGGTTGAATCTCTCCTTGGTCAGTTTCCATCCATTATTCCTTGCCTGGTCTTCAGTGCTTTGGAAAATAGCTTGACCCCCTCCTCTCTGTGGCAGCCCCTCAAATATTGGAACACTGCTATCATGTCTCTCCTGGTCCTTCTCTTCACTAGACTAGCCATGCCCAGTTCCTGTATGGTGCACCCATCACAATATCTCAACTCTTTCAGTTGCTCCTGGCTGGGCAGATAGAAATTTAGGGATTTGACGTTAGCTACAATTTCCCAAAGTCTCCATAGCTAGTAGCTTTAAGTCTAATTTGCTTACTATCTTTAGTTTCATGTCATTGTAGATATCACAAAATCTCCCTATCCATTGAGGGGGCTGGAATCCAGAGACTTTTTAAATTGTCTCTGGAAAACCGTTTCCTCGCAGGCTTCAGAGGATTTTAAGAGCATTTGGATTCATTTTATATTTTCTGTGGCTTTCCTTACAGTTGTAACAGCCCTGATTAATTGTTGGTTTTGCAAATGGATCTTAGGAGTTTATTAACTGCATGCGTTGCAAACCTCCTGCAATTGGAAAAGTAAGGGGGCGAATATATTTTGGCAAACAAATAAAAAGCTTGAGAAAGGAAAGCCAGTACTTTATTCAGGAACATTTGAAGAGCAGCTGTTCTTAACATGGCTGGAGGCTTTGCCTGCAGATGTCTGGGGTTCAATAGCTAACATTTTCAAATGAATGATCCAGATAGTTGGCTTGGAGAAGGCCTTCACGTAGAGCAGAGGTGTCAAACTCGATTTCATTGAGGGCCACATCAGGGTTGTGTTTGACCTTGGGAGGCCTGGGTGGGCGTGGCCAGCTCAACATCACTTGTATCAGGGGTGCTTGTGGTGACCTAAGTGCCCTGCCAGCAAAAACAGGATCCTGAGCTCCATTTGCCTGTGCTTCTGCCAGAGAAAAGGGGCTACTGAGCTCCATTTTCAGCTGTGACGGCCTCCTGCAACCCTCTGGTAGCAAAAACAGAGCCCACTGCCCTCCCGACCTCCCTTTTAGCTGGCAGAGAGTTATAGGAAGCAGTTGCAGCCGAAAATGGAGCTTGGTAGCCCATTTTCTCTAGCAGAGGCATCATGGAGTGATCCTTTGCTGTTTCCCTGTAGGCCAGATCTAAGCACCCCGCAGGCAGATCCAGCCCATGGGCCTTGAGTTTGACATTGCTGGCGTAGAGTCTCGGGGAGCAGAGGTGGGTTCCTACCGGTTCGGACCAGTTCGGCCAAGTAGGTAATAATTTGGCCGGCTACACCCCCGAACTGGTTCTATCGGTGGCACTGTAGGTCACCGGTCACATCTTGTTTTTTACTTTTGTACATGTGCAGAAGTACTTTTTTACTTACTGGGCATGCGTGTGTAACACGCATCAAGCTCACAGAGTGCACATCAAGTGCGCGCGCACCCGAAGCAGGTCCCTGAATGAACCGGCAGTGGAAGAAGCTGGAACTCACCCCTGCCAGGGAGATATTGCCAGCTAAGGGGTCTGTGTACTGAACTGGCCGCTTTAAAAGTAAACATTCTCATTAACAGATGTTCCCTTGGAGAACCTACTGCTCAAAGTCCAAACGTGGGCATTCCATATATCAGACCTCAGCTTAAGATGCAAAGCTTCTGGGAAGTCATTCACTTCACCTAAGACTTTGGAGGGATGTTGCTCTGAGCATCTCAGCTAGGTTGCACCTGAAAATACAGCATAAAACAGAATCTCTAGTACAGTAGAAGCCATTATTGTCCAGCTACAAATCCAGCTCACCCGAGTGACTTGTAGTTTTTTGGCTAGAAGAGCAATGTTTGTGGACAGCTACTTCTAGGTAAACTTTGCCAACTCTAGGAATAGGGAGATGCTGTCATTTTGTAAGAGGCCTCCAGAAACATACGATAAGGCTACAGCGAAATGGGAATCATGTTGAGGACCTTTGTGCTTTAGGTCACATTCACAGCCTTTGGCCTGGATAGGGAGCTAACTCAATTTGGGGCAAGGTTCATTGATGCAGGAGCCGGGGAATCAGTCAAAAATAGTACCTCTGAACATGTGTAAGGTACAGTCAAAACTTACTCAACCTGGGAGTAAAGGTGAAGAATTCAGGGGGATATGGAACCCAATCCAAGTGGTTTTCGACTTACGACCACACCTGAGCCCAATGTTTCCATTGCTAAGTGAAACAGCTTGTTAAGCGGGTTTTGCCCCATTTTACGACCTTTCTTGCCCCATCTGTTAAGCGAATCATTGCAATTGTTAAGCTAGTTGCACGGTTAAGTGAATCCCCAATTGACGTTGCTTGTCTGAAGGTCACAAAAGGTGATCAAATGAACCCGGGAGTGGGACTCTGCTGTCACAAATATGAGCCAGTTGCCAAGCATCAGAATTTTGATCACGTGACCCTGGGGATGCTGCAATGGTCATAAGTGTGAAAGTCGGTCATAAGTCACCTTTTTCAGCGCTGTCGTAATTTTGAATGGTCACTAAACAAACTGCCTATGTCAGGGACCCCCTGTACATCTTAGGATCCTCTGACCTTTCCATTCTTATTCCATCCATCACAATTTTAGATTCTTTGAGCATCTCCAGTTGTAACACTTTCCTTTTCTTTAAGCCCGAGGTGTTGAATTATAAAGATAAGGTAAAGGTTCCCCTTGCACCTATGTGCTAGTCGTTCCCGACTCTAGGGGGCGGTGCTCATCTCTGTTTCAAAGCCGAAGAGCCAGTGCTGTCTGAAGACGTCTCTGTGGTCAAGTGGCCGGCATGACTAAATGCCGAAGGTGCACGGAACGCTGTTACCTTCCCACCAAAGGTGGTTCCTATTTTGCTACTTGCATTTTTAACGTGCTTTCGAACTGCTAGGTTGGCAGAGGCTGGGACAAGTAACGGGAGCTCGCTCCATTATGAGGCACTAGGGATTCGAACCGCTGAACTGCCGACCCTCTGATCCACAAGCTCAGTGTCTTACCCACTGAGCCACTGTTCGTCCCTGTTGAATTATATTACCCCTTATATCAGCAGCCCACAAACGTTTGGGTACCAGGGGCCGATTTCTTGGAGGGTGTTCTTTTGGTGGACCAGGGGAGTGTGGTTACGCAGACTGCCTGGATCCCACACATGCGCAGATGGATCTTTGCTCGTTTGTGCGGCCCAGTTTTTGGTGGGCCACAACCCAGTGCTGGTCCAGAGCCCGGGGGGTTGGAGACCCCTGCTTTATTTGCGTCTGCAGGAGCAGAATCAATATAAGGCAAGAGGGCAGATCGCTACTTCTATATCAGTTCAATTCAGTTCAGTTTATTACATTCTTTTATGGCAAGTAATTGTCTTGCACCGATTTAATTAATCGGATTGAAATACCAAAGAAATGAATTGTTTTCTCCAATTCCATCTGCCTCTTGGACCATCGCCCCGAGCAGCAAAAGCAAAACTATACTGAAAAGCAAAAACTCTTGGCTTGGAAGGAAAAAAAATTACAAACATCTGCTGTCTCGCCAACTGTTGATCTAAAGTGCTGCTGGAAGAGCCTGAAGGAAGGGAATTCTCCCTTTTCCCCTGGCCACGAGTTTTCCCACAGTTTTGGAAATGAAAGGATCCAGGTTCATCCACAGTTGGAAGTCGTCGACGGCAGCGCCAATTCTCCAGGGAAAGACGAAAATAGTAACAAACAACTGCGGCTTCCAAAAGAGGCCGTCTCCGTAGGAGAAATGACAGCTACAGCGGAAAAAGATAGTTGTTTACAGGCTGGATGTGGAGAGCATCACTGTTGGACCATAATAATCAGCGTCATTTAGCCTGGGTGTGTTTCCCGTTGTTTTTCAACTGTTTTCTTTGAAAAGTCTGTTTATAGGGAAAACATACCAGACTCAAAATGTTTTTCAGTGTATGAAGGTGCCTTTACAGCAGGTCAAACTACTATCCCCTGTGACACAACACAGTTTTCCCAGTCTTCCCTTTGTATTATCGTACAGGCAGTCCTCAACTTACAACAGTTCGTTTAGCGACCATCTGAATTTACAAGGGCACTGGAAAAAGTGACATAGGAGTGTTTTTTCAAACTTGCAAACATTGTGAACATCCCCATGTTCACGTCATCAAAATTCAGACACATGGCTCCTTGACTCCTATTTATGACGATTCCAGTGTCCCCGGGGTCATGTGATCACGTTTTGTGACCTTCTGACAAACAAAGTCAACGCTTGTCAGAAGATTTACCTAACAACCGTGTCACTAACTTAACCACTGCCCTGATTCCCTTAACAAATGTGGCAAGAAAGGTCGTAAACTGGGACACTTACCATATTTTTCTGAGTATAAGATGCACCAAGATTTTGAAGAGGCAAATAAAAAAAAAAGTTTTTGCACTCTGCATACCTCCCAAAGATGGGCTGTTTTTCTCAAAAACGGGCTCATTTTTTGTCAAAAAAAGGGCATGCATAGCCTTTAGGAGGCTTGTAGAGTGCTCCTGGGATTTTGGGGGCGGGGTGAAAATAAGCAAAGTAACAAATTTCTCACTTAGCAACAGAAATTTTGGGCTCGATTGTGGTCGTAAGTCAAGGACTACGTGTATAGCATAACCAGCATACACAGTCCTTTACAAAGCACTGTACCAGCAGTTCAGCTGTTCCCCGAAGACTTTATAATATCTGTAAGGCTACACACAGATGCAACACAAGGAAGATGGGAATTTCACAGCGAAGACACAACAATTATTTCCCTCAATCGCATGTAAGAGCAGAAGAGGAAGAAATATGGTTTTTACATGATAATTCAGCAGTCAGAAGAGATAACTTGTAGAACTCCCTTCTGGGTTATACAATAATAAGGATCTTTCTCTATTAGTATTTCCTATGAGCCTAAAACTCCAAGTGCCATTTATTCTTTTGAGTAATTAGTCACAAATACAGCCACTGTAACCTGGAAGAAAGGAGACATGGATGGGTAATAACCATAATCACTAAATGGGGTCCACATAGACTGTAGCACTATTTATCTCTAATTTTAGAGACAAAAGAACAAACGAATGGCCGTGACACTCACTTTTAAAACCCGCCTGTGAACTCTGCCAAGTTAATCATTGCTGGAAGCAGAATTGTGGGCTAGGAGAAATAGTGTGACTCAAACAGGACAATTCCCTGCATGCACAGAGCACATCCCAGAACCAGCAGCAGCCATCCTCCAAACAAGGGATCTATTTTCTGAGAAGCTGGAGGAGATCCCTAAAAATACAGTATGACAATTCAAAGAATGTACTCTCATAAAATCCTTATAAGCCATTTAGAAATGGAAATAACATGCGCCATACAGGAGAGACAGCTATGAAACATAAGGATTGGGAGATGGGGAAATATACTGTATTTTGTGAATTATATCATAGAGTCATAGGGCTGGAAGGAAGGGACAGAGGTCTTGTAGTCCAAACTCCTGCTGAAGGCAGGAGGCCTTATTCCATCCCGGAAAAATTGTTGTCCAATCTTTTCTTGAAAACCTCCAGCAATGGAGGCCCTGCAACTCTGGGAGACATGCAGTTCCTTTGTTCTCACTATCAAATAATTGTTCTATCAGGAAATTTCCTCTTGGTTCCTGATTGGATCTTCCCGTGATGAGCTTCCATCCATTGCTTCTTGTCCTACCCACAGGTGGTTTGGAGAATAAATTGACCCCCTCTTCCCTGGCTATCATGTCACCCCTTAAGCCTTCTCTTTCTCAGACTAAACATACCTAGTTCTCTTAGCCCAGGGATCAGCAACCTGCAGCTCTGGAGCCGCATGTGGCTCTTTCATCCCTCTGCTGTGGCTCCCTGTTGCCGGTCGGCCCCACAATTGATAGTTTGTTTGTTTGTTTGTTTGTTTGTNCCTCTCTGCTTCTGATGCAGAGACCTCCTCAGAGCCCTCCCCAGATTCCAAGACTGGCCCATGTTCCTCCCCAACCTCCACACTGTCCGAATCTGCTGCCAGCTCTGCTGGGGGCCACAGCACTTGCTAGTAAATGTCTTTTGTCAAATCAATTTTTCATGGAGGAGCTATTGGTAACTTTCCTCTTGTCTTGTTCTCCTTGAAATCTAGGTGGACCCCAACCCTCCCTCTGACAACAGCATCCGTCCACGTTGCATGACTTGCTGAAGGAAGCCGCTGTCTGACTTGATATCAAAGGAAATCCTTTCATAAGAGAGATTACAGCAGTGGAAGCTCAACGGTGGGGTGAAGAAGAAGACTTTGCCCCAGGAGAAATGTGGGGTGCCCATTCTTAGTCCGGTGCTCTGCACAGGAAGCCTTCATTGGACTCTCTCCGCAACCGAGCGAGCTAGATCGGCATTGGTGATGAAGAGCGAGAACAGAGCTCTTCCCCAGCGCTTAAAGTGGTGACTGTTTTAAGATCAGCACAAAAGCATTTTGAACTTTAGACCGATCTACTGTGCTTTCCTTGGGTGCATTTCACTATGTCCTTCCTACACCTACAGAGGGGGTTTTTACTCTATGTAAAGGGAAGCTGCAGAAGGAACCCACTCACCCTGAGAATCTGAGAAGATGCTTCTGCTCCATTGCCTAGAATTCCACCAATGTCTTTTGGACGGAAGTTGGCTAAAAGACGTCCTGCCTTATGACGCTGTGTCGCTATTAACACTTCTGACATTTTTTTTTGGATTACCCAGCTGGGTTTCACTTTTAATTTCATTTCATCAAGCAGAGGCATATGGGAATGGTCAGGGGCCGAGTGGAGAAGAATCTCCAGTCTAAAAATGGTTGAGAAGGACAGAAGGGGTGCACATCTTTTTCTCCCTTACATCAGGGGGGAGTGACTTGTTTTTGATTAATGCAACAGAATTGCCGTTGTACTATCAGGGTATAGGGTTGACGTGGTTTGTAACAGGTGGTTGGTTTTTGCAATTTCATTTAGAGTGGGTCTAAATTCTCAAAACGAACCCTTTGAGTTACAGAATTTAGAGAGAAAAAAACCTTTAGAATGTTGGCTGTACGAATTCAACAGAAATGGAGAATAGAAATGGGTGGTATGAAAAGTTATTTGGGAGCATGCTTTTCCCCCATTTCAAAATGTGTCTTAATTAGACTCCCAAGAGGATTAGGGGGGGAGTGAATTCCCCCTCCCTCAAATGCATTCCGAATGCTTCTAAGCATGTAAACATCCTGCTTCTGCCCCCGTGCGGGACTGGTGGCCTTGTTTTTGTACCTCTTTTCTGTTATAGTGTATACTCTGGTTTGATACTGACATAAACCTATTTCTAGGTTCGCATTTTATAAACGTGGCTGCCTTTAACTGTTTGAAAGCAAATGTGTGTTTCTCAGAATTCCTAGTTTTGTACGAGGTTTGCAATTAAATTAATCCAACTTTTTAATCGCTGGAATCTTCCTTCCTTTTTTTTCATTCAAACCGTCTTAACCCACTTAGCTTTCACCCATGTCCAAAGTAGAAAGTTGCCAGAAAGTTTATACGACATGCTTCAGATTGCTAACTGAATCTAATAAATGGAACCGCTGTGTCTAATTCAGGGGGTCGGGAATCTGGGTCTCATGCCCTCCCCCAAACACCACCGAAATCACAAAGCCAAAATGCTACCATAAATGGACAACCTTGTGATATGTTGATGCGCTCTCTCTCTCTCCAGAAATAAGGGTGGGGATGGGAACACCGAACAACTTTCTCACCTAATTGCAGGCGTGAGAATTGGGGCTGCCTGAAGTCCCAAAGGCTTCAGACGGGTCTCAACTGTGACCAAGCACTTGCTATTTAGGGAAGGGTGACACAGACATGAATTATAATTTGACAACTTGAGCTTCCCAAGCATTAAGGCCTCGGTGTCCCTGGCTCGTTACGCCCATCTCCACTCTGCCTTACATTTGAGGTAGGGAATATCTTCTATTCAGCCGATTGCTCAGACTTCCAGACATCTGGAGCATGCCTTCTTCGAAATGGGAACATATATATATATATAAAAAGAACAGTGGCCCTAGGACAGGAAGTCTCGCCTCCATAATCGCTTACATTGTCCTGCCAGATTGCAACCTTAATCTACTGCTGCACTCGTTCACCTTTTGCGCGCTGCTACTCAAAGTATGTTTAGAAAATGGGACAGTCCCACGATTGCATCAGACCCCTCCATTCATGGTTGTCAAAGTGTCCCCCCCCCTGCCCCAGTAGTGGGTTCCGGATCCTGTCGCAGCCGGTACGGGCATCATTGAGCACCGGCACTGCATGTATGCGCACGCCACCACCCTGCGACACCCAGCTGCTTGGCAGAGGTCACGCAGGTGCCATACGCTGTGTGTGCATCTGCAATTGGCCCGTTTGCGTCAAAGCCCAGTAAGGAATGAGGGTGAGCGGGTGGGCCAAACGAGCCACCGTTCCGGTACGGTGGCTGCTGCTCCCGCTACCACTGATACGGCCATACTGGGCCGCACCGCCTGGAACCCACTACTGGTCCCTCCCTCTCAACTCACAGGGATCAGTTTGGAGAAGATGCAGTCTCTCTTTTCAACATTAGCTTTACAATCACAGGCTTTGAAAGTCTTGAAATCTCCCCCACAAAAAGAAAAAAATCATGCCCCTTTCTATTTATTAAGCTGTGCAAAGTCTAAGGTGACCCTTAACAGAATAATAGTCGGAAGGGTTCTTAGAGGTCTTCTAGTCCAGCCCCCTGCTCAGGCAGGAAACCCTATACCATTTCAGACACATGCTTGTCCAGTCTCTTCTTAAAAGCCTCCAGGGATGGAGCACCCACTACTTCTGAAGGCAACTTCTGTTCCACTGGTTTAATTGTTCTCACCGTCAGGAAATTTCTCCTTAGTTCTAGATCGCTTCTCCCCTTGATCAGTTTCTATCCATTGTTTCTTGCCTTCTGGTGCTTTGGGAAGCCAGCGGCTGTTGCCGCCCCCATCAAATTCACAAGCTGTCAGTTGGAATGGCCCAAGTATGTTGAACATGGGCTTCGGTGTCTTTCTGAATTGCTGTTTCAAGGATTAGAAAATAGCAAGTGTGGTTTTTTAATAACGTTGGAGGGAATGTTCCTACTTGAAAAACAGACTGTAAGTCTGAACCTGCTTTGCAGAGTTATAGGTGGAAAAGTACCAGGGAAATTGTATCTTCAAGTCTGAAAGCAAAGATACCATTTGGGGATGTGACATCCACTTAATCCAGCTTTGGCCCACTAGGCAGATTACTCCCTTGGCTGTTCTCCCTATTTTGTTTGCTATTTGTGGGATCACAAGGTAAGGTAGGCCCTAGCCAAGGAACATAATTGGGATTTCAGAGAAGTGGTAGATTACCAGGCGGGAACACAGGTGGAGAGGAAAGGCAATATTTACTCAATATTTCATTTATTGATAGGAATGTAGGTCTGACAAAATTCCAGCCAGAGTCTAAAATTCCATGTCCTAAAATATATACAACCCTCTAACTAAGCAAACACTTTGGAGATCCAGGGCAGGTGGAAAGAAATACTTTTACTTACAATATGTAACTAACGCTGGGATTTAATTTAAGCCACACGGAGCATCAGTTTGAAATCAGTTAAACTTTGCTGTTACCACCTTCCTGAATGGCTTTAAAAGACAACTGGCAAGTTTCATAAATAGAGTTAATTCAACAGTTACTAATCTTGACTATTGCAATGCGTTCTACATGGGGCTGCCCTTGAAGAGCATCCGGAAGCTCCAGTTGGTGCAAAATGCAGTGGCCCGCATGGTTTTGTGCAGACCTCGATGTGCACATGCATCACCTCTCCTGTGGGAGCTGCATTGGTTGCCGATTTGCTTCCGGGTGCAATTCAAGATGCTGGTTGTCACCTTTAAAGCCCTGCATGGCTTAGGACCAGGTTATCTGGTGGACTGTCTCTTGTTGGTCACATCTACCCAACCCATCAGAGCGGGGAGGCAAGGAATGTTGTGGATCCCATCTCCTAGGTCAGTGTTGGTGAACCTCTTCAAGTGTCAAAACAGGGGTGCATGCCAGAAACTGGAAGAGCACCTGTGCCGGAAACCAGAAGATCATCTTCCATGTGTGCGCATGTGCCATGGGCTGCTGCTCTTTCAATTCCATGCATGTGAAGACTAGCTGGCCGGCGCGCTGGAACCCTGAAGAGCAATGAACAATGGCTGGCGTGCCCAGAGAGATGGCTCTGCATGCCACTTCTGGCATACGTGCCATCGGTTCTCCATCACAGTCCTAAGGAGATACACCTGGTGGGACCCAGAAGAAGGGCCTTCTCCGTGGTGGCTCCCTCTCTCTAGAACGTCATCCCCTCAGAGATTAGAACGGCCCCCTCTCTAATGCTCTTCCAGAAGGCTCTGAAGACCTGGTACTGGCAGCGGGCCAGGGGAATGCAGAATGGGACGAAGCCCATGAAATGGCTCGTGTAATGTGATGTCGCTGGGGGTGGAGGTTGAGGGGTTATTTTATTATATTATATATGATTCTCTCTTTTATGAGTTTCCTTGTTTTTATATCGTGTTTTGATATTCTTGAAAGCCACCTTGAGTCGCCACGTGTGAATAGGCGGCAATATCAAACTAGTAAGTAAGTAAGTAAGTAAGTAAGTAAGTAAGTAAGTAAGTAAGTAAATAAATAAATAAATAAATAAATAAATAAATAATATCAGAGGCAATCCAAAATGAAAAATAATGGCCTCTCAGGATTTTATTAGCCCACTAATCTTCTTTTGCTAACTCATTGCTATGTAGGGATGATCATTTGTGTCTGATGTCCTCCCATACTTGATTAGTGTGTATTTTATTTNCTCAGCTCCAGAGCACAAATTCCTCCTCTCCACGAGATTTTCTTTCAGTGCAAAGCCAGAGCGGCGAACTCAGCAGCCATGTTCCTTGCCCATGCAACCTTGGAAGGATGGAAGGCTTGGAAGGATGGAAGGATGGATAGGACTTTTGGATAGGACAGATAGAGGAAAAAGGATGCCGTGCTAGGAGGAGACTCTATGGTGAGAAAACTGGACTTCAGGTCAGCAGAGGAAAAAGGATGCCATGCTAGGAGGTGACTCTATGATGGGGGAACCGGACTTCAGGTCAGCAGAGGAAAAAGGATGCCGTGCTAGGAGGTGACTCTATGGTGAGGGAACCGGACTCCAGGTCAGCAGAGGAAAAAGGATGCCATGCCAGGAGGTGACTCTATGGTGGTGGAACTGGATTTCAGGTCAGCAGAGGAAAAAGGATGCCGTGCTAGGAGGTGACTCTATGGTGAGGGAACCGGACTTCAGGTCAGCAGAGGAAAAAGGATGCCATGCCAGGAGGAGACTCTATGGTGAGGGAACTGGACTTCCGATTGGCTCCAGAATTGAATAGAGCGCTTCCCTTTAGGACCTTTATGTCTCTTTGAGAGTTTAAGGTTGCCGACCGCTGTCTTAGCCATTCATTGTAAATGTCTATGGAGATTCTCGGTCTCCAGGTCATGGTTGTCTCAAAGATGGTTTTACAAAAGGCAGCTGGATTTTGTTTTTCCTTGAAGACTTAGCGGCCATTCAAAAGTCACAACAGCACTGAAAAAATGACTTATGACCCTTTTTCACACTTACGACCGTGGCAGCACTTCCATGATCAAAATTCGGACACATGGCAACTGACTCGTGTTTATGACAGTTGCATTTCCCCCAGGGTCTTGTTTGTGACCTTCCGACAAGCAAAGTCAACAGGGAAGCCCAATTCACTTAACAAGCGTGTTACTAACTTAACAACTGCAGTGACTCACTTAACAACGGTGGCAAGATAGGTCACAAAGTGGGGCAAGCATTTTGCTTCTCATCCAAGAAGCTTCTCCAATATGGAACTGAAGAGCTTTTTGGATGAGAAACAAAATGTCTCCAGCTTCCCTTTGTAAAAGCACCTTTGGGATGCTCTTCGTACGGTTTAGCTTACAGGTTCCTTATCGTCTTTGTTGTTTTTCTCTGCACACTATTTAGGATCTGAGCATCTTTTCTGTATCATGGTGATCAGAACTGGATGCAGTATTCCAAATGTGGTCTTATTAGTGTAGTATAGAGTGGGTACTATCCAGTGGTGAGATTCAAATTAATCTAACAACTGGTTCTCTTCCCTAATGATTTATTCCAACAACCAGTTCACCAAACTGCTGAGAAGGTTAGCAACCGGTTCTCCCGGAGTGGTGCAAACCGGCTGAATCCCACCACTGGTACTATCTCTTTTCGTGGTCTTGACGCTACCCTTTTCTTGATGCAGTCTAGAATTGCATTGCCTTTTTTTGGCAGCTGCAACACATTGCTGGCTCATACGCGGTGGTTAGAATGCAGTACTGCAGGCTATTTCTGCCGTCTGCCAGCTGTCTGCAATTTGGTAGATCAAACCTCAAGCTTGACTCAGCCTTCCATCCTTC